ACCGAAAATTTATTGTTAGATTGGACCTCTGAGTTTTCTAAGGTCCTAAGTGAAAATACTGAAGATTTTTTATTGGAAAATGACTTTGCATTATCAATGGCACAACTTGAATTTAATCGTCGTGCTGATATAAGTTGAGATATTACGAGATAAATTTGATCTTATAACCAAAACTTCTAATGATTCAGCAAATTATCAATCTGAAGCCGAAATTTATCGATTAATTAAGAAATTTCAGGATGAACAAAAAAATTTCGGAGAAACTAGACCAATTCCAGTTCTTACATATTTTGCAAATGTCATTAAGAAGAATGATATTAAATATATGCGTGAGTTTGCACGTCAAGCTGACGTTTTCTTTAAGGATTATCTTATTTCTTTGGCCCATGGAATAAAAAATAATTCAGCTGAGAGTTATCAAACAAATAATCAACGAAAAGAAATAAAGCAAAAAATTGAAGATTTAGATATAACAATTCATGACTTTTGGAGAGAATTTGTTATTTTATCACAGGTGACGGCTCATTAGTCTTAAAAAAATTATATGATATTGACAATAAGTAAGTATTTATCGTGAATTTTTGTTAAAAAAAATTGATATTAAGTTTGAATATTGTAGCTAATCAAAAAAATTTATCATTTAGGCAACTCGAAAAAGCATATAATATTTGGATACGTGAAGGTGAAGCAATTCAGATACTAGAGGGTGTATCGCTTAGAACATTAAATTCCGATTTTCTTTCGTCTGTATTGAGCCAAATAATGTCAAACTCTAAACGGCAGTTGGTAGTTCTCTCAGTCATTGGACTTGAAAGTTCCGGAAAATCTACTTTGTTAAATTATTTGTTTCAATGTGGATTTTCAACCTCTGCTGGACGGTGGTAAGAATTAAATATATGTTTATTGATATTATAGTATATGAGTCGTTTATCATTTAAATTATTTTCATTTAGTATAAAGGGTAAGTTGTATCAGAATTTGTGTTCAAATCGTTTTAGAGTTCATATAAGTAAAAAATATATTATGTGATAGGTGCATATATGTCATATCGGCATACCTTGTATAAGGAAAAAGAGTTGGACGTTTTAATCATAGATTCTGAAGGAATGGGATCCACGGCAGCAAAATATATCTCGAGACGTACAGATTTCGATAAGTAAATGACGCTTCTTGGTTTCATGTGCTCTCAGATTCTAATCGTTAATACTAAAGGACTTACACGAGATACAGTGGCGATCAAAAGTAATGGAGCAGAAAAAATGGTTAGATTGCATTATTTCGTTCAATTCTGGACGTATCTTATTAATTTTTTTTTTAATTTGTTCGTAAATGGTATCTTTATTTAATATTTAAATTTAAATAAATTTTCTTATTGCCGATGCAAAGATAATCAAGCGTGTACACGAAACACGTGATGCATAACTTTTGCACGTTTTTGATGATGAATCAGATGACGTTTTGTGTATTACACAAATACAATAAATATGTAAATTT